GATGATTCCTCTATCTTCAACTCCGCCTATTGTTCCTCAATTCACAGTTTCCCCACTTCATCCTATCTAGAGAACAGTATTTCCCACAGTGGGGAAGGAGTAACATTTGGGACAGGATGGAGAAGATGGGAGGAATATCTGACTGCTTCTTAAACAGATTTGTCAACTAATCCTCCTCCTCCTATATCAGTTCCACTTTCAAGGGCCACCTGGTGCCATCTCTGCATGTTTAGTAGGTAGATGGGTTTGCCTCTTCACTGGAAGTATTCTGCCAAGAGAACATCATTATAAGTTAACATATTTTAATACTTTTGTTCCACTTTATCATCCAAAATAGATATGTAGAGATGGATATTTAAGATAGATATATAGTCATTTCCTAACAAAGCTTTAGATGGAAGAAGCATTAAAGTTGTATATAACCATGCTCTCTTTGGTTTAGCCTCGCTAAGTTCATAGAATCCACCTAAATTAATTTTTTACTATTTAGTTGAATGCTTCATCATATTCTTGTTTTGGTTTTAACCTGTCTTTGAAGGGTATAAAATTTATGAGATATTTGTATTTATTTTACTATTGAATCAGCTTCTTTGACTTTGTAAATAACATACAGATGTATCTTTATGATAAGTAAAATGGTTTTTATATGTTGGTTGCTGGAAATACTTCTAATATCTTATTATTAATGTGTTGTATATGTTTTGTTTCCTGTTTGTTAACAGAAAATATCTGTTAACTTGGAAGTTTCCTTTGAAGAAACACTTCCTCCACATAACTTTGGTCTCAAATCAAAACCAATTCTTAGTTTTAGAGAAAGTAAAGTAACATTCCAGGTGCTATTTTTTATATATATTTTTTCATCATTTTGTGCTTCTAGATTCAATTTATTTGGTAAAACTGAGGATGATATTAAGAGTTTTTGGGCTGGGGATTTAGCTCAGTGGTTCCACCGCCTGCCTCACAAGCTAAGGACCTGGGTTCGATCCCCGGTACCAAAAAAAAAAGAGTTTTGTTCATTTCTAAGAAGCAAGATGTTAGAATTATTTATTTTGAAATTCATCTGAATGCAACTGTGCACAGCATTAAACAGTTTTTTAAAATATAAAAACCAAAACCTGGAATCATTGGAGAAAAAGATACACTTTCTAAAAAGTGGTAATTATGTACAACAGTAGCAGTTCAAAACATATTATCCCTGTGTTTCTTTTTTTTGTTAACTGCAGTACCACTTTGGAGAAAATGAATTTTCATCTTGTTAAATTATAGATGAGTTAGGCTTATATAGTTTCAAGCATGTTCATTAAGGATTGAACAGCTGTTATTCAATGGCGGAGGCAGATAATAAGTATGGGAAAAGAGGAAAAGAAAATTCACCTTTAGAAATGGAGGGGAAATGTACTCTGCAGTCTAGAGGTCAGTATTTGTCACTAGATCTATTTAATACTTTTTTTTTACAAGGAAATTTTTCTATTTTATTTTAATTTAATACTTTGAATGCAAATATATTTACTGACCCCTGTCCATTGAATTCAGAGAGCAGAGCACAGTGGAAAGACCGTTTGCTTGCTTCCGCTTCCTACTTTGCACTCTGTGGTAGGCCCACTCTATTTATCCAGGCAGCATAAACACTTACAAAGAACTGCTTGATTTTTATTCACTGTAAAATAAACCAGTGCAGAGATGTTCCTGGACAGCCAGTGTTGCCAGTTACTTATTTAGCCTCTTCCATGCCTACTTACTGGCTATCTTTTCTGTTTTACTTTATTGTTTGGTAACTTATTCTGTCATTCTCTGCAGGAGCCCAAGCTAACAGAGAAAGGGAATATCCATTCATTGAGCTTACTATATATTTAACTTTGACTTATTCTGATACAACCTTCACAACAATGTTGGAGAGGTTGATGTCATTCTTGTTCTTTTTAGGTGCAGAATCTGCAGAATGATTTTCCCAAAGTCACCCAACTAGGAAATAGCAGATCTAGAATTTAAATTCACGTTTGTCTGATAACAAGCCTAGGGTTTCTGGTAATCCCATAGGACCCTCACTTGGCTGCTTCTGACCAAACCTTATTTCAAGACCATAGCAGACCATGACTTTTATGTGTGGCCATAGCGATGACTTGGAGATTTTATTGAGCAGTCACCTTACTTTTTAAGTGAGGGAAATATTAGATTCACTTGATTTCATGAATCACTTTTCAGAAATGTGAATTTTCTATATAAGAGAAAGATTACACACATTTTTATAGTCACTTAAAAATAATTTAAAGGGGAACTTTAAAAAATTCAGCATTTCATGTCTTTGTCCCCCCACCCTCACCTCCTGTACCAGACATTAAACCCAAGGCTATATCCATTGAGCTATATCTCCAGACCTTTTTTGTTTTTGAGACAGGATCTCACTAAGTCACTAAATTGCCCAGGCTAGGCTCAAACATGTGATCCTCTTGCCTCAGCCTCCCAGCATGCTGGGATTACAGGCATGTGCCACCATGCCCATCTTTGATCTGCTTTTGTGTTAAACTGTTTCCAAGGGGACAAGAATTTTACTTTGAGCTTCCTAATACTAAACACAGTTTCTGGATATTTTGTTAAATATTGTTGAATAAATAATCTGCCAGCAGTAAACTTTTAAAAGGAAGGATTTTTTTTTTCCTGTACCTTAGATCTGGAATTTTCCCTTTTATGGTTTTTTTTTTCTTTCATAAAATAGACACATCCATTCCCCATTTTTCTCAAAGATTTTCTATCCTCTCTCTTTACTTCTGATCCTACAAAGTACAATATGCCTTTCAGATCAGGTCAAAGAAGTAGAGAAGTCTCTGATGTCCTGTGCCATTATGTTACTTTTTATGTAACTTCCTAAAAGTGTGGTTCAAAATAGGCAAGGAAAATGTATGCTTCCTTTAGTAAAAATAATGCAATTTTTCTTTTTAAAAAATTGATTTTCTTGTCCTTTGAGGCCTAAGTTTTAATCAAACCACATTATGAGACATTTTCATAATCTGATAGCTCCCTTAAGACTTAAAGTGTGATTGTGCTGGCAGGCAGGAGTTGAAGTGCAGGCTGAGGAGAAGTTGGAAATCATGGAGAGGAGCTCTTGAAGTCACTGAGCTGAGGAGGAGAAAAAGACAAAGTTAATCTTTTTTTGCCCTACACCTCTACAGGTAGCCAGAATTTAGGAACAGCCCCTGTGTAGCACTAGGATCCAGTCTTAGGCTTCCATCTCCAGCCCTGTGTGGCCTGTCCAGTGTCTTCCCTTCATGCCTTATGATCCCCATACTTCTCAAATTTCAGAAGACGAGTGTGTGACAGGTGACTGGCACCGTTGCTTGGATTGTCTTCAAGGGCCATACCCACTGTAGAAGTGCCCACTTAAAATCATGAACTCCAGCAAGATTAAAATGAGCTGAGCCCTCTTAGAAATACTTTTAATACACTGAAATATAAAAGAGCTTAATAAGCAATACTACGTGTGTTTATTGTAAGATTTCATAAAATGTGGCTGTTTATTTGTAAATAGATAATGTATATTGGCAAAAAAATGATAAAAATAGTATATTAAACAGAAATCTTTAATATTTAACTTTGGCATGGAAATTTATTTTCTTAAGTTTTCTTACTTACATTTTAATGAGAATTTACATGGGAAAATATGCCTTTAACTTTAGAAAATGGTGAATATGAAAATTAATTCTGTGGATCATTCACTTGAGTATAAATCATAATTTGTTTACTTTTGAAAAATCAAAAGATGGATAAATTATGTGTTAGAAGGGCTAGCATGGATAGAATGTTAGACTCTAGACTAAATATTAAATTCTAATTTGAAAACTACAAAAACAGATATCAAAGGCCATTATGAAAATATTTTGTTATCTTTTTAAAGGACATGTTAAGAAATGCCCAGCCTCTGTCCATTTGGAATAGGCAGAATAATATTGTTACATGAAAGTTTTCCATCTCATTTAATGCTTTTCTTAAATAGGAACTGGATTTATAGTTCATCTTTGTTCTGTGTTTTGTGTTTTTTGTTTTTTGCGGTACTGGGGATTGAACTCAGGAACTTCTGCTTGCAAGGCAGGTGCAGTGCCACTGAGCTTAATCCCCAGCCCTGTGTGTTTCTAATAATGAAAAAATACATACATTCTTTCTGGTTTGTTTAGTTTTTAATTAGGCTCACTCAGGATTACCTTCAGGAGCCCATGACACTGGCAGCCCTTGGTGCCCTTTGGCACTGGCTTTTATTAAAGATAGTGCTCTTTCTTGCAAGAGCACTAATGACATCATGCCAACTTGGATCCATTTCTGAGGTTTGCTGCAGGAAGCAAAATACTGAAATTATCATCAAAGGAAACTATTCTTCTTTAGTTGTTAACACGTGTCATTAAAACATGACTCAAGGTTGGAAACAGAATTTCTATAGGCTGTTTATGGTTTATACATTCTGTGTATTGCAAACATTTCTTGCCTATACTTAAGCCAGCAGACCCAGAAGAATGACTGTGTAAAAGGGAATAGCAAGTCCTTGGTCAGTGGTGTGCCATCCTGCCCTGCATGGCTTAGGTTCTGGAGTCATCTCTGCTTTAAATGATTGTTGGCCTCATACTCAAGTGAGCTCTGAATGGTACTTTCCCATTAAACACAAGAATTCTGGAGTCTACAGTACATTGAATGTTTTTATTGATCCAAGTTCATTTATCATAGAGTCGACCACTTGCATATTGAATGTGTGTTAATAGACTGTGAGGATTATTTTCTCATTTTTCCTGTAGGCATAATGAAGTGGCTTAAAAGAGAAGGAAGAACGAACTTTTTCCTCTTGAGTTAGCTAGTTATCCCTAGTTATTACAAGTTCATTTGTTTTCAAAAGATCAGCCACAATGTATGTAAAGAGACATACACAATGAAACCATAGTTTTGTTTTGTTTCATTTTGTTTTCAGAAAAATTCACTTGCTTACTTTTCTTAAAAACATCTTTCCCATTTCATTGAGGCAGATTTGGAAGTCAAACCAGAAACTTCAGGCTCTACTACGATGGAAAGCACTTTGTTGGGGAGAAACGCTTTGAGTCCATCCACGATCTGGTGACTGATGGCTTGATTACTCTCTATATTGAAACCAAGGCAGCAGAATACATTGCCAAGATGACGATAAACCCAATTTATGAGCACGTAGGATACACAACCTTAAACAGAGAGCCAGCATACAAAAAACATATGGGAGTCCTGAAAGAGACACATGATGAGAAAGATGCCGCAGGCCAGGATGGGGTGTCAGAGAAAAGGGTAAGCTACCATGAAACCACACTTTATCTTTTTCTGTTTGGGATCCTTTTCAGAAAGCCATTATTGCCAGAAGAAATTCATTCTCCACAAGTGCTTTGAAAACTGAATGCATTTTTCTTGATGTCTAGTTTCTGTAGTGCTGAGCTTTGCCTGTATCTATTTCTTATTTAGTTAAAGTATGTTAGGTATATTTTGTATTCCTGATTGTCTCCTATTTTATCAGCTTCCCAGTTTTTAAAATAGGTTGGAAAAATGGGCCCTAGTAAAAAACAGTTCAGGGATTTTCTCAGAAGCATAATTTAGGGTCAGGAAAAGATAACTGCTATTATATTGAAGGAGGTTACATTTGCTATCAAAATAACTTTTTTGTTTTCCTTAGAGATAATATACTTTAGGGGCCGGGGATTTAGCTCAGTGGTTCTGCCGCCTGCCTTGTAAATACAAGGAACTGAGTTTGATCCCGGTACCAAAAAATAAAAAAGATAATATACTTTAGAAATAATTCTGTTTAACAAGATTATTTACTTATATATTTTTAATACACGTGGTTCAATTCAGTCTGTTTTACTGTTTTAGGAATCAAGTCAGTTGCATAGTAGAGGAATTTCTCTCTTACTATTAAGAAATAATTGAGTCAGGAGGTGTAGGGATTTAACTCAGTGGTAAAGCATTTGAGGGCCCTGGGTTTAGTCCTCAGCACCAAACTATTAAAGTAGAAAAGTAAAGAAAATAAAAAAACATGGCAACAAGAAGTAATTGAATCAGAAAGATTTGCTTGTCTTTCATTTTAAAAAGCAATTTGAGTTTTTCAGTTCTCATGTTTTAAATTGTGACATATTTCAGGTTAACATCAAAAGTTATAATTATTTGGCATTAAAATTACTTTGCTTTTGACAGTTGTCTCCATCCTTTCCCTCAACCACTCCCCAACAAGAGTAAGAGAATTTCCTGATGTTTTATATTGTGTGAGATTTACTTGCAGGAATTTTATGTATTCTAATTGGAACTAGAATAATTCATTTTATATTTTCAAGAATCTTCAACTGCTAGATTAAAGAAATACAATGGAGTTTGAGCTAGGATTCTGTCACCAAATAGAGTTGTATGCAAGTTACTTAGTTTTTCTGTGCTTTGTCTTATTTATAAAGTTGTAATAAAAATCAAGATTTTTGAAGACTGAATGAGATAGCAGATAGAAAACACTCAACCTGAATTTGGCACATAAGATCTCAATGTGAGTTTGTTATAATGTTATAACAACCATGTTACTTCAAGGCAACATCCTAAAACATTTTCAGTTATTTTGAAGTATTTAAATACAGAATAGAAATTTAAAATGCTTATTGTCCAGTCCAAATTTTAGATTCTGGCAGACCTTACTTAGATTGGCATTCTGTGGCTAGAGAGGAACCTTCATTTTAAATGATAGATTGTAGAAAACTTGTAAAAAAAGTTTTTATAAGTCTGGTCTTTCATATACTTACATTTGTTAAGAACCACAAATCTTTTTTGGAAATAGCCAGAGTTTGAAATCATAAATGCATGCTATTGTTCTTTTCACTGTCACATTCCCATTTTCTCACCATTGCTTGATTTTCCACCCATAGCATATTTCAACATTGCTTATATTTCAGTATCTAATACTGATACTATATACTATGTAGATGTGCCAGAGTATCCAAAGTCAGTGTTTGTGAAAGATTTAAGTCTTTCAAAGTTGGTCAGCCTACCAATAATCTTTTATTATATTGTGCATATACTTTTCAACTCCTAGGAACTTGAGCTAAAGATACTTACTTAGCTATTTGACATTAGCTCACTCATTTAACTTCATGAGGACTTTGGTTGTCCCTCCTACAAAGTGGAAATGATACAGAAGCAGTACATCAAAGTAGATAATGTTTAGAGGACACTTTTGGCCCTATGAGACAGGATTCCTTTTTTTGCTCAGGCAGTGTACATTCCATAGATTCTCTTGTGCCCATGGTCACTGGTAACTTTTTAGAGTGAAATAGCTGGCACTGGGAAGTATCTTTCTCCAGCAGTACATAATTAAGGACCATTCAAAATATTACTCTGCTTTAAACTGCATGCATCTTAAATCTAGTTGGCTTTTAAAAAATCTATTCACTCAAAAATAGATTTATTTTATTTACAGGTGTCATCCAACAGGACAGGGATGATGACCTGTTCAACAGCTTGAAACATTGATTCCCTGTCACAGTGGATGACATTTGTAAGTAAAGAAAATCATGTTTAACAGACTTGAAATATCTATTGACACAAATATGGTATAAATAGTCTAATAAGTACTTAATAGCTGAAGCCCCTCCTGTCCATGCATGACTCCTTTAACTGAGGCAGAAAGCACTGTCTTTGCAGGCCTCAGTGTGCTGCTGTTGAAAGGATACTAGTGCTGGAATTAATAGCCAGGTTCTAATTCTACTACTGGAATGGATTTTATGTGTTCCATTCAGCCAACTGCTTTTACTTCTCTGAGACTGTATTTCCTCATTTTTAATGGGAGAGATTTGGACTCCAAGATACAGTTTTTATAGTCTGTGATTCTTCAAGGTCTGTGTTATAGCAAAGAGACAATAGAGGACTGCACCGAGCACCCCATTAGGGTCTTGAAGGGTGAGATTTGTCTTCAGCTTACCCACTAATTTATTGTATGACCTTGGAGCTGTTGCCTAGTATGTCTGGACTCAAGTTGCTTAGTTGCTTTGAATAAGATAAGGGGCTTTCTACAAAGCATTAATTCCACAGGATTTTCATAAATACTACAAAGATGCTGAAATAAGTTGGACAAAAATTAAATTTTTTAAAAAGCTTTTTTCTTTTCTGTATGTCTTCACTAGTGACTTCATGTCATTATGACTTCCCAAGAGTGCTCCCAAACTTATTTGAATCACCCCATCACTGTTAAGAACATTTTTGTCAGATAATGTTTCGTGAAATGTGCTTTGGGAAATTTTCAATAAAAAAATTTCTTGAATTTAAGATACTTTGTTTCAAAATTGAAGGGTAAGAATTCCAGGAGTATGTGTTGTTTGTTGGCAATCCTTAAGGTATTAAGTTGTATGTCTGAGATTTCGTGAATAGTCAGCTGGATGGTTTTATGGCCTTGTAGGGCTTTTTTTGCCACAGGAAGTAAATCCAAGTAAATTTTTTGTCTCTAGGAGAGCTGATAGCCTATTATGAGAGGAAAAAATTGTCTTTCTAAGTGATAGCTATGCAGTTTTTCTCGTTTACTATTTGTTTCCTTGGCTTGAAATATCAATTGGATATGTAAAAAACAAAAATTTTAAACATTGTGATATATTTAATCATGAAATTATAGCATGTTGTCCTTAATTTATGAAGATTGGCCAAGAACCCAACTTTGGTAATTATTTTTATTTACCTTGAAACTGGATTTGAAGTTTCTTCTTCCAAGTACTGAATACTATAATATGTTTACCTCAACAGATAATAGACCAATGGCTATATTCAGTAGTTTCTATGATAATTTCACTTACTAGTGATACAATTATAAATCCACAAAACCATGTTGTAGACATCTCAAATAACTGTTAATAATATAAACTGTAAAATAAGATACTTTGCATTTCAGAATCCATACTAGGAATGAGGACTTGGAATCTAGGCCACATATCTTTACTTTGGCATTAGTCATCAGCACCAAACCATCTCACAGTGCCTGTAATGGCAAGGTGTGCAAAATGAGTATTTTGGTTTTATAGAACTTCAACAAGCTAAATAATAACCTATATGTGTCTAAATGTACATATATGTGCTTTTTTCTTCTCCTGTAGTTTGGAATGAATGTAATGCTTTACATATTGTCATTATTAATTTATTTGTAAAAAATTTCTTCTACATATAAATTTCAATTTTTAAAAACTTTCTTTGGGTCAATAAACTACATATATACTGTAAAATTTAAAGTTGAAATATAACTGGAGCCCTACCCTAAACTGCCATGACCATTGATACCTTTATAAAGCGGTAGGAGTCTTCATCCCCTGTAACTTCAAAAGGGACATGGGCCGTCTGGTCTGCTAATTGGCATAGTCTCTCACAAAGTAACTCTTCTCAATGTTTATATATATAATGATACTTCATCTCTATTGACATAATCTCAATGAAGAAATAAGCAGAAAGCCATATATAAATTCCATCATGAATAAAAGTGACAGAGGAGTCAGTGACATAGAGCAATCTCTAGAAAACTGTGTTGATTTCTTGATTTTGAGCCTTCATACTCTTTTGCACCTTCATTGCTATTCTTTGTTTCTGCCCAAGCCTCATCTTGTTCTTTCTTAGTCTTGCTTTTTTATACACCTCCCACCCCACCCCCCATCAAATTTACATGACCAGGGTTCTACTGTGGCTTGTTCAAGTTTAGGATCAGTCCCAAGGGTAACCAGCACATGTGACAGGGTCATTTGATTTGCATTAAAAGCCAATTAGTAATTTATGAGAATGACTACAGCTTTCACACAGAATTTCTAATATCTTATCCTCTGTAAACATCCTCTGTATGAAATCCCCAGCTACCCCAGCCTCTTGCCACCCTGTAAGGTCAGTGTATATTAGTTGTAGGGTCTTCCACAAGGCCTACCATTAATTCTATTTACCTCAATCTCTGATATGTATTGTATTGTATGTATTGTATATGCCATTGCATTGGTGATTGTGAATTTTAATGCCATTTTATAATGTAGACTTCTTTGAATGTGTACCACTACACGAAGCATTTGTTGCTCTGTGGGATCAAAGCAACCATCAACCAGGTGCCCATTCATGGGTCTGAGTACTCTCTATGCCCCCAGCTTGAGCTAGAAACAGCTAGAAACATGTTTCTCTAAAAGATCCATTTTTTTCATGCATGAAAACATCACAAGGCTCCTAATTGCTTCATGAAGGAAGTAGTTTCTCTTTTAATAATGATGATGATACCTCTGTCTTTGATCAGGGAATATTCTAATGACTAT